GTACTACAAGTATATTCAGATTTTAAAGCATGCAACTTCTCCATTTGTTGTGATTTCACAAGTTTATAAAGAGAGCCTATTGAAATGGCACAAGTTTGTCACCAAGTTGGGACTCTCTTCTAATCAGTCATGATTGTTTTCTGCACATTTTGATGTAAGAAAATTAATCATATCATCTTTGTCTCGTTCCTGAACCCTTGAGTATATTGGCTCTTGTGCCCTGTTTTTATTGTTCCGTTTATTGAAGACAAATATTTCTACATCATCATGCACACTCATAAATATTGATTTATGTCCTCTTACATATTGATTGCAGATTTTACCTGAGAAATATAGCTACTATAGAAGGTTTGATCCGACTGCAAATCATGCCACAGACTGTGTGATCTGCATGACTGCCATTGAGCTAAGCCATCGCTCAAATGATTGCATGGTATCATATCATCTCTTCATTTTCGTTGTTTTCAGAAGGACGTTCTCTCTTTTAACTGTTATTTTGACTCCAAATTTGTCCAGGTGACGCCATGTGATCATTTCTTTCACTCCAGTTGTTTACAAAGATGGATGGACATAAAAATGGAGTGCCCAACTTGCCGCCGTCCTCTTCCTCCATCCTAGGAGATCGATCGTTCGACTCTTATTCAGAATAGCGCCGTGGATCAATTGACACCAACCTGTTAATAGTGGTGTAGTGGCTTCAAAGAATTTAGATTATTCCATCATTTAAAGACTTAAAACGCAGATCCAGCCTTTCATTTCTGAATCTTCAATGGTTTTTCTTGTTCGGCTATAACCCCAAAGGTTGCCTGAACATGTATAGACAAGAGCTGATACGAGAGTGGCAGTCCTCGTGTTGTATATTCTGGTTTGTGTAGTAGAAATTCGATGAATTTTCGTCACTATGTACTGTATTTACATGCCAATTGTAGATTTACTTAGAAAATAGCCCATCCGTGTGCATTCTGATAGGTTATGGACTTGCACTACCTTTTAAACAGTTTCTTTCATGCAATAACACAAGCAAAGAACCAATTTTAAACGAGAACATGTTTGGCATATAGAGGGGAGAACACTATGTTTTATCTTCTGAAATCTCAAGGATTTTCTATCGAACTATTATCTATTTTACGATAACCAATACACAGTTGACAGAATTTTAATCCTTGATAGTTTTTTTGTTGCAATCAACTGGTTGATCCACTGAAGGATTAATCTTGATGTACAGGACCACATGGGCCCTGTCCTGTACACCCAGCACCACTCTCCATTGAATAACATTCATTCTTGCTCCTCTGCTGAGGCTTGTTTGGCAAACAGTTTCGTCAATCATCAATCGAAGATTTGCTACAGATGCCTTCTTCATAACAGAAGAAGTGAGAAACCGTAAAATTCGACAAATTAGGCAAAAAACAAAATCCATCTGTTACCATTCCAGTCATCATAATGTGGCCTAAATTCAGCAACTCCAGAAGAGCCAAACATGCAGTGCTATGCGGGATTGGACCAACAATTTTGTCGTGGCTAACATCAAGCGCTCTTAATTTGTATAAAGATCCCACTTCAGGTGGCAAACAACCCTTAATGCTTATTAAGACTTGGATTTCATCTTAAAATATCAACCTTATTGAGAAATAGTTTAAACCCTTATATGCTGATCTTTATCCTTTAACATGCCCCGCAAGATGTTCGCTTGTTTGAAATTCATGTTCTCATTTTATGAGTTGTAATCGGATTGAATTGCTTGTTCGAATTTAATAGGTTTTGATATCATGTTAAGACTTGTGTTTCATCTTAAAAGATCAATTTTATTGTTAGTCTATATTATGGTCCTTATTCGATGTGAGATTTATCCCTTAACAATGTTAGTATTGATTATTAGTAATTCTTCTAAAGTATTCACGAGATTCGCTATGCTTTGGCGGGATGCATCCTCCAAATTCGAATACTACAACAGTTCCTGAACCAGCCTAACTTGAAAGTGAAGTGATTGTCATTGACAAAAATGGCGTCGAGGTTTTTGCTACAGAGTTTGAAAGGCAGTTTCCTTC